CACCTCGCCCATGAATTTTGAATCCTCCGAGCGCTGTGGTGGGACCGTGCTAGTTAGAGTTCCCGGGTAAGTTGGATACCAGGTCTGATGTATCTTGGATAACAGTGACGATCTTGTCAATGTCCTGCGCGACCTGGACGCCAATCGCGAGACGCTCCTGCCAGGTCTTTTTATGCGTCTCGGGTTCGGCGAGCGCTGGCACGATGCGAACGGGGGCAGCAGACGCTTGCGGGGCATATGCAGGTGGAGGGGGCGTAGTTGGTTGAGCTGCCCCCTGCATTGTGTAGCTGACGCTCGCGACCACATTTGTACCGCCCGAGCTTATAGGCGCCGCGAGCTGTGCGGGCGCCGTTCCGCCGAGGGACACCTGGACGGGCTGGGCGACGTGTACAGCCTGGGGTGGTCCGGTCCTGGTCGAAATCACTGCTGCTGGGCTGGGGATCGGTCGTATCTCCCGGCTGATGGATGTGACGTCCTCGCTCCAGGCGATCGGGAAATTCCAGGCCGCGCCGCCGTCGCCGTATACGACATAGTACTCTCCCGCAGTGAAGGGATTTAGAGCGATGTACTAAATTGTGGGATACCGATGAGCATGACAAAGGGGGCAAGTAATGCGAACGCACCATGAGTCCGTGCCGACGAGATGCCTCTTGGGTGTTGCGAATGAGCGACTCGACGAGGGGATACTGCGCGCGTAGATCGAACGTCACGGTGCCATCGCTGTATAAAACGACATAGGATCCCTGGACACCTAGGGTGACGGTTGATGGCCACCGTAGCCGGCCACAATTGTGGATGTCCTCCTCCAGCGCGGGCGGAAGATTCTGCCAGGAATATCCTGTGAGTGAAATGGAGAAGTAACTTGCGGCGGGGCCGAAAACGGTTCGGGAGGTGCGCCCTCCCGTCGTCGCCACGTTCTTGATGAACAGCGCCAGTCGTGAGTACTGTGGACCCATGCACCCATCTGGAGGCAATTAGACACGAGAGCAAAGTTAACAAGATTCATGGGGGACGAACCCTCGTACCAGTCTTCCCCACTGGTTGTTTTCCAGCACATGGCATACATGCCTGGTTCCAACGGGAATGCCACATCGTAGGGGGTGTCCATCGCCTGTGGATGGTTTTTGTTTTCGAGGAGCTGGGCCAAGCCCGCGGGGAGGGAATTATCGCTCCTGCAGGGCGATATCAGGCTTTCAATGCCCCTCCGAGGTCGTCGTCGTGTGCTCACCATGCAAACGCAGAACCGGTACTACAAAAGTATGAGCGGTTGGGGCCGAAGGAGAATTGGCAGTCCATGCTACCGAGTGAGAGATATAAATTTGGATCAGGGACATCGCGCTTTAATATGGGTGGTTAGCGCTGAACTGCACAGGTTGCACTCGATTGAGGTTCATTGGTGTCTGTCACACGCGGTTGAGGCGGGATTCCAATATTAAACTAGACGCCGAGCGCCCTCCGTCGAGTGTTCGGCAGATTGATGTGGACCGACATCATGAAAAGAGAAACTGCGACTGCTGCCTGTAGGGAGATTCGAGAGATAGGGGAGCGACGACGCATTCTCTGAGACCTCTGTGCGGTCGTGGGGCTCTGACCAGTTCCAAGTTCTTGAGAGTTTCGCGATTGCATCGGGACTGTTGTCAGCGGCACCGACTTCGGAATCGTATGACTGCACCCGCCATTCTACAGCTCTTGCTGAGTCGGCATCGTTTGACGGGCGAAACGCCCAGCGGCTAGCGACTGATGCATCAAAGTCACAGTCGGTGGCAACTGCCATAGAGTTATGCCACAACGCCGTGGCCAATCTAATCGGCTGTTGCTTTTCGCTGATAGTAGATATATAACAGAATCAGGTACAATGTTGCAATTGCACCGTTTGATCGAATACGACATGAAGCACTTCCTTCAGCCGCCCCGAAAGCCAGCAATGTCCACAGGATCACATCAAGATCATGAGTTCGATCGAGCTTATCCAAATTTTTCAGTTTGAGTGATTGCAGCATCTTGCCTTGTTCCGTCCAAGATTTTACCGAGAGCGTAGCGTAGGTGATCAGGCAATGTAGACGTTTGGCGTCTCGAGAGTTGCGGAACCGGCAAGTGCAAGCCGAGGATAAGTATAGGTATCAGGTACGAGCTAGATCCGATGAAGCGCCTTCATGCAGTAAACTTCTCTTGAATTACGGCAGATGGGTGGGTGGGAGTGACCGACAGTCGTTGGCGGAACTTCAAAGAGACACTTTATGTAGTGGGATTTCGCCGGTTGAGAAAATTAGTGGCAAGTGGTTCGAGAGAAAGGATGTAGTGGCGGTGCCGATCACTTGCCTATTGTCCGGCTCGTTCGCACGCTATCAATCAACTCCTGAATTGGCCGGGAAAGCGAGACCGAGGACAATATTAGTCTAAGTCAGTAATTCAGCATTCAAGAAAGAACACTGGAGCCCAGAAAAATGCTATGACATACTGTACTGTTTCGCTCAATTCTCCCCGGCTGTGACCTGTGACCCGGACATTCGAACTTGTGGTTTCGTAAATCGGCCGGACCGGCCGTGATACCGAAAAAGTTCGTAAATCCCGTGGGAAATGGCGGGGCGCCTCTCAGACATTCTTACAAAACTATTTTCAACCATAGAATAAGTAGATGCGGAGATTGCTGCGGCTGACGATAATGTGCAGCATTATGTGCTGGGTGAACCAACCTGGCAAGCGAAAAAGCCGTGCGAACGCACAGTGGAGACATCCGTCAAACTCGGCATTTCGTGAGAGCGCCTCGGCGGCCCGAAGCAAAACGCGCCGTGCGCGAGAAATTTATTTTTGTTGGGCCATTTTTCGCCGATTTCGTGACCTTTTGGCACATTCGAAGATCCCCTAGGTGACCCGTGACAGGTTTGAAAATTTTCTTAATTTTTGGGCCCTGTGACGCGCAAACTCTCTTGACCTGAGCTCGCAGATAGCTTGAACAATGTGAATACAAATGCTCATCCACTAACTTCTCACCGAAGTGGAAATGCGGCCACGCAAAATTCTGGGTTTCTGAAGGAGAGAAGAGAAGTTGAAATATTCCGCAACTCTGGAGGCAGAATCTAGGATAGCCAGCTGACATACGAATTGAGCGAAACAGTACAGTAACTGGCCCCGAATTTTAAGAAACAATAACCCCCTTCGGCCACAGTCAACAACCGAGTGTTGTTGTAACAATAACACTCTGTTGTTCTTGGTATTCTCTTATAATGAGGTCTGATTAAGTGCAAGCATCACGAATCAACTTCATCCCACCTCTGTATTGTCTCCGATGGCACCCTCGATAATTCCAGTTAGTGTGACATTCAACCAAGACACACAAAAGTGCCGTGCATTGGACATGGGAAGAACATTGTACCCAGGGTGAACCCAGTCGATTCCAGACTCAACACGGCGGCTGGAATGTCGTATATGGCTCTCAGCTCTACCTCGACTCAAGGGTTAAGCACTATTCAACCTTGGCTCCCGAAGATGAGTATCGTGTTTACTGGGGGGATGAGGCCTACGATCACCATTCGTGGTCCATCGCATATTGGCTGTGAGGTCAACTACAACAGGAGAATGCAAGATTAAATTTTCCGGGCGGGAGGATGGCTAATCCAGTTACGGAATCATCACGTCGAATCACAGGCTCACCACAGGAGATCCGCGCCCGAACGGGAATTACGAGCTGCACATACAAGTTGCTGCCGGATCTATGACTCAGAATGTCCCAGTCTATCGAGACCAGAGATGCTTCGGGGGAATCTAGCCGGTGTGTGCACACGAGAGGTTTTGAGAAGTTGTTTGGACCAAAGGAGGACAAGTTCACCCTACATTTCATTGGTGGAGAGCTTGAGTCGCATATTCGCGAGCGCATTTTCCAGAGATTGGTGGCCGACGCCGAGACACAGAGATGATGAGTTGGTTGATAAACTCGCGACAAGAGATTGGCTTCTAGTCCAGGCTCCAGGCTGGTTACTTGAAGATTTCGTGGAAAGGAGACGCTCCTCGGAACACAGGCCGGTAGCCATATGCTCTTCACATCAGTAGCATTGAGTCGTCATGTAATTTTCGGCGGGACATCTCAATGTTCAGTCTTGTATATGCAACTGTCCAAGACGCGATCTAGCCATGTAAATATTCAGTCGCGAGGGATATTAACTCGTCCCGAATGAAATTGATAACATGTGCGACTTAATTTGCTTAGAGTCTCCCCCTCATGAATCTTGTCAGCAGCACTCAGCACCTCCAAGGACAGCGCTCTCAGAATCGCAACAGAATCCCGTACGCTTGATTGGAGTTGAAGAACGGCAAGGCAGCTCACGCTTGAATGGGATCATTCCTCTTGTTACATTGACTCTGCGTGCTCCATTAATTTACCTGCGTGATGCGTTTCAATTGAAAACCTAAGAACTTTCGTGACTAGAGTCAACCTTTCGTTCAGCGCCCAAATAAGCGTCCGCAATCTGCCGAGTTTGGTTCGGCCTTCTATAACGGCACCGAGCACAGCTTGCTTTCTTCCATTGTACTCACCATTGGGTGAGTCGCATCCTCCGTAGCGAAGATCGTTTACCTTCTCCCCAGATTCATTGAATGTCTTCTACTCGGTTGGGACTTGATCCTCATTTCACATTGTTCGATTTCATTTCCTTCTCGAGTGTTGAACTCCTTTCGGAAACCAAAAATGCACTCGACCGCGGCGGTGTCGGTGACAGGACGAAGGTCCCAGTGAGGACTGAAACTCTACATGCTCGCTTGCTTCCTCGAACTCCCGACTGGCGTACTCTTGGGGACCGACGGGATCGTCCACGCCGAACGTCATTTCTTTCGAGGGCGACATCTACGGTACATGAAGCTAGGTATACAAGGCATTTCGGTTGAGAACGGGACGTGAAGCTTGAAGTGTACATCTACCAACTGCGATTATTAGCGCTGACGCGCCGTGTGAGCTGATCTGGCTCGAGCATACCCGCTCTGACTACATTGCTTCGAGCATCGATACCAGCAGCATGGCGCAGTCTGGAAGCGCGCGGGGCCCATATTCCTCATTATGCATGTTACCCCGAGGTCACTCGATCGAAATGAGTTGCTGCTATCAAGCAGCTTCACAGAAGATGTTTTTGCCGCCGCATACCATATTTACCCCGGTGCTTCATGTGGACTAGACATGGCCTGCCGCAACAATGGGCATGCAACGCAAAAAAATTGACACAAATCAGCCATGTATACTAATTCTCCCAAAACTCTCCTGCCCTCTTCGCAGCAGCAAATCATAATGACCATTTATTTCTAATACATGTACCTCTGAATTTATACTACAGCCTACCATTTGACTTCGTCATTCACGTCCCCACCGTATATGTATCCCTGCGTTTTAGCAGCCTCCTGTTTATAATTATATCTAGCCGCCAACAATGCTTCGCGGACGACGTTTGCCGGGGTTATCGCACGCGTCCGCACGCGTCAGTCACGCATCAGCAAACCCTGGGGTTGCTGGGCAGCACTGCGTAGCGCTACGGCAGTGCTGTGCAGTGCTGTAGTGCGGTAGCAGGGGGTACCCTCTGTGCAGCACTGCGTAGTGCTGTGTAGTAGACCCCCTTGCTGTGTAGTGCCGTGTAGTGGTCACGTGCAGTACTCCGCAGGGTTAGGGTTACTGCGTAGTGCTGTGTAGTGCTCCGTAGTGCTCCGTAGCGAGCCTATAGTGGTTGTATTATCTCATATTAGACAATATTACTTGTTTCAAATCTCTCTTTCCAACATTCCAGTCAAATTTGGTGCATTTCTACTACAACAATACAAACACATTGTACCTAAATCTCAATACATGCTCACCGTCGCCATCTCGAGGTCCGATTCCGTTCCGGCGTCATCTCGAACACCTGTTTGAACGACTCAAAACATACCTAGGAAGCCGGAATGTTACTGACCGTTTCCAGTGCGCACTTATGTGGAACATGAAGAATAGGTCTTGTCGCTGAACACAACGGCCTGCACGTCGTCAGCTCAAAGTACCGCCTGCACATCAGACACTGACCTGACGACCCGGGGCGGCGGCGCGTGCACGCTGGGAGGTAAAAGTCAGGCTCGACCGCGTGCACCGTGCTCTGGTTCGCTCACGGCATGATGAACGTCGAGTACAGATTGCCGCCGAGCCCTCCGTCGAGCCCCATCGTGACGAGGTCCGTGCGCGCGCAGCTGAGGCGCACGCCGCCCGGGTTGCCCGCCGGCCCGCGTCCAAATCGGTGTCGCCCGCCTCGCGGATGATCACGATGGGACCGTTTCCAGTACACAAAGCTCCACGCGAGGCAGCCACTGTTTTTTCCATCAGCAACGAGCAGGCAAGAGGAGTAGTACACACTGAAGATAACAAGGTTCCTCGCGAACCTCGCGAGCTTGATGGACCGGAGTGTGCAGGGTGTGAACATGCACAGAAGGTATCAGCACAACATAAAAAGCAGAAGCGAGCGCACACCAATAATCACATAGTGAATAACAGCAAAGGCCCAGGGCGTCGCACGCAGGAGTCAAATTCAAGATGTAAGTCACGGCTGAACACATAGGCTCGAATGTACTTACCATGCATCAACCCAGTGGCGTGAGCACCAGTTCCGCTATTCCAGGCCGGCAACGCGCAAATGAGCTTGATGCTTGATGCGCACTGGGACGAGGTCGAGGCGCGACGGACCTGCTGAAAAAATTCATGAAAATGAAGTACGGCGAAGTCATACACTTAACTGAACAAGAACGAGGTCTGATCGGCGCCTCCGGTCGTGAGAGCTGTTGAAATATTGGTGGACAACATTCAAGTTAGCGATGTACGTCTATGAGAGAGCACATACTGGTCGTTCTCGTGTCAAACTCCTGTTCCGTTCGTTGGCGCTGTTCAAACGAATCAGAACGCGTCTCGGAAGCCGTAATGTCATTACCGGTTACGCAGCTCTACTAAGCGGGGCGGACAGTGCGACATCTTTCCATCAGCAGCAAACACACAAAATATGACAGAGCTAGGCGGCCACGCCAAAGAGCGACAGTAAGGATGTGGGGGCGCTGTGAAACTGGTACATACAAGGTCAGGGTTGGAAAGAAAAAGGCCGGAGAAGCGGACCTTAACTCGCAGCTTGTGGCCGAACGACTTGTGGCCGCGACGACCGTAACGAGGGCCTTCAATGATACGACGGCACCAGAGATGAAGCGCAGTTGAGGGCACATCTCGTTTGGCGATACGCCAGACGGAATGTGCGGTGGAGTCGAAGAGAAAGAAGTCGAACCATGACCAAATATTTGGTTTGTTCTATTCCCATCACGTGCGCTTTCCCCTCCGAAACTCTCCGACTCCGAGCTACTCCCTTCGACTCGCAACTCACAATCTTATCTTGCCTACGACGCGTTCGAAGGGAAATCTGTGCACCCCTCGTAGCCGTCCCTAGCACCTCTTTGTCTGTACCGTGCACACCCGCCGCAACCAGAGATGTCTCAGGAGCGGATTACTGCATGTTCTCGCGTTGGAGTATGGCCATGGACGTGGATGTGAGGGTCAAGCGCGGGACGCTGCCTGACATGCCCATAACTCGATATAGTACGTTTTCCCTTTATTTCGTTCAGTAAGTTGGCACTGACTGAGGTTTCATCATCCAGAGCGTCCTTTGCGGATGGAATGAAAATAAAAGGGCATGCGGCGCCACTTCGCTCGCTCTTGAGGAAAGGGCCACCCACGCCAGCGTCGACAAGCGCCATCGAGCTCACCGCAGAGGACCTCTACGGCAAGGAGAAGGTCGACCTCGAGACCGTCGTCATCGACGACGTCTTCAAGCTCCCGCGGTGCACCGAGGATGGGCTCGCGCAGGATGAGGCGGAGAGGCGGCTGGGCCTGTTTGGGCCGAATAAGCTGGAGCAGGAGGATCAGAATCTGTTTTTACAGGCAAGTCCTTTCACAAGTGTGTCACGCCGTAGGTCCGTCGCAAGTTCACGACGAGCGGTGAGGAGACGTGCGCCCCAGGCATACTGGCGAGCTCACGGCGAGCCCCAGGGAGGCGCCGCAGGCTTCCTATCCCCTCCATCCTCGCCCCTGTCCCCCGCCCTCTTCCCGACTCCTACCCCTGTTCCCTTCCCATGTTCCCTCCCCCCCCCTTCTCGCCCTTCTCCTCCATCTCTCGCCCTTCTCCCCCACCTCTCTCGCCCTTCTCCCCCACCTCTCTCGCCTGCCCCTCCCTCCTACCCCTGTTGCCATCCTCGCCTCACGTTTTTCTTCTTATCACCGCCCAACGAACGCCCGCTAACCCATATTCGTTTTGCAGCCTTTATGTGGAACCCCCTCTCCTGGGTTATGGAGGCCGCCGCATTCGTTGTCATTCCCTTGTCGAATGGTGAGGGGCAGGCGCCGGATTGGCAGGTGAGAGACTTTCTTTTTGCGAGTGTTTATGGGTGAGGAGGTGCCGCGGGCTGACGGTGGCGAGCGAGCGGGAAGGAGGTGTGCGCCGCAGGCATGCCCTTGCCCGCAAGCTCATCCCTCCCCCTCTTCGTCTTATCACGACTTTGTACTAACGCGCGCCCTTCCTTTCAGGACTTGATCGGGATCGTGCTCCTCTGTTCATCAAAAGCGTGATTGGGTTTTATGAGGATCGCGGGGCTGGGAATGCGGTCAAGGCGTTGATGGGTGGGTTTCTCCTCTTCGCACTCCCCCCGTCGTTCTCATCGCTTTGCGACGAACTCGCTCTCCTTTTTGTATCTACCGTTGAACTCCCTCGCTGACGCTCGCTCGCACAGACTCCCTCGAACCCAAGGCAAAGGTCAAGCGCACGGGCAGCTGGTCCAAGATCGAGAGCACGGGACTGGTGCCGGGTGATATAGTCGGCTTCAAGGTGAGCCTCCGTCCTATTTGTTTTTGGTCGCGTCAGACGATCTCTACCCTTTGTGGGCGGGCTCGGTCGTAGGGAGGTGACGTCCCCCGTGGCACGATGGGGAGGCTCGCTGACTACGTCGAGTTTGGTGGCAACGTCGACGTCGACGCGGGGGACGTGGTGTCGACGCTCCCTGACATCGGGCGTCAGGCGGGGGCTCCTTCCCGCCCTTGTCGTCCTCCCGCTTACCGCCCTTGACCCCATTCTTATTCTTATTCTCCCCCCTCCATAACTCGCGCTGATACGCTCACAGATCGGCAATATTGTCTCCGCAAGCTGCCCCCTCACCGAGGGCATCAACGTCTCGATCGACCAGGCTGTGCTCACGGGTTGTTGCCGCCGAGGGGATGATCATTTTTCGTGAGTCTCCTTAATCTGTATCCAGGGAGGCCTGCAGCCCCTGTCATGCCTCGCATGACTGCACCCTCGAGTTGATAGGGATGGGTATGGCCGCGCGCAGCAGCCGTGTTTGTTGAACGCACGGTCGAGAAGGTGGCGAAAGCGGGGGAAAACGGGATGGACTCTCGACTTGTTGGCGAAAAGGCAGAGCGAGAATTCAGTCGTAGGCAACGCAACTCGCTCCGTGCGCAGTGGCGCGCCTACGCGCGGACTGGGACGACCTCAACCTCCCCGCGTACGTTGTGCGGTCCATGCGATGCTCGCGTCAGAGTAGCTTGTGAACGATGTGTATTTCTATTAAATTTCGATCCAAAATGTAGCAGATTTTGGCAGGACTCAGAAATGCCTGAAATGGTTGATTCAAAGGACTTGCTAGGCTAAAGTTGGACTAAAGACACAAATTGAAGTCAGTATATCCAAATTGATGGCAGCTGTCCATTTATCTAGGGTTAGGGTTAGTTGAATCTGAATCTCTATGCAGTCGCACTGGCTGTCTATCAAGCACTACCTTAAGTAGGGGTACCAGGCTACAGAGTATTACACATTGACCCGGCTGTACCAGAGCACTATGTAGCGAGCCCACCACTACGAAGTGAGCCGGCCACTACAGAGCCCTACAGAGCACTACACAGCACTACGTAATCCGACCGGCTACTACCGGCACTACGGCACTACGGCAAAATCCCGGTTTTGCTGATGCGTGGGGTGGTGGTGCACACTTGGCCAATCGATTCAATCGTTACCGCAGGTGGCGGGTATCTCTGGCTCGATGGCTCAAGCACGGCTCGCTAGATGAGCG